CATCAGGTGCACACACACACACACACACACACATACACACACACACACACACACACACACAGAAACATACACACACAGACACACACACACATACACACACATACACACACAGACTCAAGAAAATCCTGCAGCCACACCTCAGGTTTGAGGGAGACCAAACCCATTGTGGGAACCTGCCCAGGACTGCACAGCGAGTCTCAGACACGGCTCGGATAAGTGACTTGAAGAATGTGCAGTATTTTAAATTATGAAAGTAACAGATCCGCCTTCTAAAACCAGGGAAATGGGAGGGGGAACACCCCTGACTACCCCATCACCTCACAAAACGGCTGCGGTGGCTCTCATCTCTTCCTTGTGGGCTGTGAGTGTGGGCACGCACACACATGCTGTGCACATATGGGACCGAGGGAGCCCTAGCAGCGAAGGTGTTTTTCTCTTACTTCTAAATAGGCTGTCTTCTTGGCTAATTTAAGGAGACGGACACCCTCACGCTGGACCCCGGGCTCTCAGAACAGGGGCCCAGTCCTGCCCACCCCTGCCCACTGGGGACCAGCGGCCGGGGGAGCACACGTACCTTCCGCAGCTTCCCGTAGTCGATCAGCTCGGGCCGGTGTCGGTGGATCAAGGCACAGAAGCCAAGGCCGTCCTTCCAGCTGCCGGGGGAGAGGAGGGGGCGAGCTGGTGAGTGGGGCGGAACACTAACTATGGGGAAAGCACCGAGCAGGTCTCCTTTTCCCGCAGGTGGATACACAGCCCTTCAGAGCGGGAGTCAGAGGAGACAGGATGGGCAGGAACATTCCTGTCTGCCAACACCCAGGCGCCGGGGTCAAGACTCTAGGGCAGTGATGGCGAACCTTTTGAGCTCGGCGTGTCAGCATTTTGAAAAACCCTAACTTAACTCTGGTGCTGTGTCGCATATAGAAATTTTTTGATATTTGCAACCATAGTAAAACAAAGACTTATATTTTTGATATTTATTTTATATATTTGAATGCCATTTAACAAAGAAAAATCAACCAAAAAAATGAGTTCGCGTGTCACCTCTGACACGCGTGTCATAGGTTCGCCATCACTGCTCTAGGGGGCTTGGCACGTTGAGATGCACCTGCCACATCCCAGCTACCCTATACCAAGGCCATGCCTGTCTGCTCTGTTCCAGAACCCCCAGCAGCCCGAGCACCACCAAGGGCGTAGCTGCGTCCACGGCAGCGCCGGCAGGGAGAGGGGCACCTAAGCGTCGGCAGTCCTCCCCTCCCATGAAAAGTGACTTCTTCCCCAAGGGCCTCTGCTCTGGTCTAGGGCTGAGACCAACCCAGCCCAGGGGGCTTGCGGGCCCCAGGGGACAAGGCCTCGGTCCTGCAGGGAGCCCCTCAGCTCCCGGGCACTCACCTTATGTGGAAGTTCTGGATGTTGACGTTTTTGTAAGGGGCTGTCTTTCTCTGACACCACAAGAGCAGCCCTTCCTTCGCTGACGTCTCTGTGGAGGGGGAAGGCGGGCAGAGCGATCAGGGGCTGGCTCGGCGGTGGGAGGGCTGCCGACTTGTGGGAGGCCCCATCTTGACGGCACAGACCCTGCTCCTTCACATAGAGGGTCCCCACAAAGACCCCTAGTTCCCAGCCCTGATGCTGACAAAGGCCGAGAAGTCATCGGACACAGAAGCCAGCTAGGAAGCTGTGCAGAGCTAGCTGCAGCACGCACCGAAATGCTGAGATAGCGGCCTTTCGGACTATCACCCTGTCACTCCCTTCTATCCAAGAAATGGTAACGATACAAAATAGGTGGGCAACCGATTGGTCTATGAAATCTAAAATTCAGGAATCCCTAGACAGGAGCGTGTGTGCCATATGGAAAGAAAGCATTGGGACCCCTATTCAGATTGAGTGTTGATCTAAAAACTAAAGTCTCCTTATATTGAATGCATGGATCAACTCTGTTGGTGTATGTGAAGCCAACACATGTCTATCAGATAAGGCAGGTAGGTAGGTATTGGAGGGGACCCAGGAGCTCCCAGAACAGGAGGGCTGCTGACCACACCGCCCCCATGTGTTCACTTCTGTGAATTGCAGGTTATAGCATTGAGTGAAGTGGCTTCCTGGATGACCTCGTTGGCTTTCAATTCACAAAATAAACTTTAAAATGACGTTAAACGATTCCTACAAAGATAACATAATAATTCAAGCACAAACAATTTTTTAAAAAATCAGCAAAGCTAATGTTTCTACTCTTAGTTCAAGTTCGTCAGCTACAAGATTAAAATAATAACTGTTTAATAGGAGCTGACAACAAGTCTGCCCCCAAAAATCAAACTCACCAAGGCTACTTGAAAAATGGATTGATATTTACCATCACTAACAAGAACCATGCTCTAAGTGACTACTGTGGGCATCTTTTAACCACTTCCACCCTAAATACCAAACTTAGATCCTCACATCGCTGTATCACTACGTGTCAAGCCAAGATTTCCGTAACCAAGCAATTTAGTCCACGCTGTTCTCATTAAAAAGTTACTTTGAATAAAAACCTTTTAAAGATTTCTTTAAAGTTTCCTTTAAAATTAATTTAAAATATTATCTCCATCTTATTTTTTTCATTTGTTTTTGTGTGTTTTGTAATACACTTGGAAATACATAAACATAAATTATGACAAAATAAACACATAGCTCAAAGGGTGCTGGAATGTAGAATCAAAAGTTTAGAGATCATTGACCTGTGGTGGTCCCTTGCAGATCTACAAAGTGGCCACCAGAGGGTGCTGTGGGAGCAAAGTGGAAGACCTGGGGTCCGCTCCCCACCCCAGCAGGCCCTCCTGGCTGCTAGTCCCCTACCTTTTCAAGATTTAACAATCCAAGAGCCAAGCGGGGTTTCCAATGCACTTCCCCACAGCAACCTTGGGCTTTCTCAAAGTGGGGCGTTTCCCTGGCGCCAACACGCCTGTGGGAACCAGCACCTCAAACAGTTCTCTACGGACTAGGAGGGAGGACAGATGCTAGAAATGGGTCAGAAGCTCAGGATGTGGCCCATCAGGCCCCACTGCCCAGGCCAGAGAGCCCTCGAGGCTGAGCCAGGCCCGGAGCGGGGCTTGGGGAAGTCATGGAACCGAGCAGGCCTACCTTCCACGGAGATGTCCTGGATGGCGAAGCGGAGGATGATGGTCCAGATCATGCCCAGGGTCATTTTCGCATTCCCATCCACGATTTCTACAAAAACAGCAGCAGGATGGATCGTACAGGGGCAGAGTTAGCATCCCCTGAGCACCCACGTCACTCTGTGCACCATGTGGGGAATCAAAGACCACATGTTCCACTGCTAGAGGGAAGTCCGTATATTTTCTAAAGTTAGTGCAATTGCACTTCACAGGTGACCTGATCTGGGGGAGTCCCAGAGGCACAAGGTGGTAGACTAGGGGTGCCCTGGGGGTACAAGGTGGGAATGGTCAATTCTACTGGGTACATCAGGAAAGGAAACAGAGAAGGGGGTGACTTAAACCCTGAGGGGTGTCCACCAGCCTGACAGAGAGCGGGAGGGTTTCTAAGCCACCACAGATGTCCTGGCAGCTCTGAGCTAAAGGCCTCTGGGCACGGCCTCACGCCAGTGCAGGCCCCAGAGAGCACCCACCTAACGAAGGTTTGCAAACTGCCACCCTGAAGGCTCCGCTAACTCACACATCAACCTCATCGGGCCATTCACTGGGTATTTTTTAATTAAGAGAAAAAACCAAACTGCTGCAAGACCATAACAAGATGCCCCACTAAATTCAGTCTAAGCAGCACTTTTTCAACTTTTCAAATAATGCTATAAGTCCGATGAATATTTTCTGCACCAAGCAACACAAACATAAATGAGCCCTGCCTGGAAGCGCCCAAGACAGGGAGCCATTCGTAGTCTTGGGGCTTGAGCAGCTCACAATCCAATGCAAACTCCTTACCCTCACCCGCTTCCAGACCAGGAGACGGAAACCTGGCCCCGTGGTGAGGCACTCCAGTGAAGAGTGAGGCACCCAAAGAGCATCTGACTTTCCTTTTCCCACCTGCAACACGAGCTCTTAGGGCAGACGCAACAGAATCATGAGAAGGGACAACTTCCAGGGTTCCCTGAGCCAATGTCCACTCGAGTTTGTTTCCCACAAACCCATTAAACAAGAGTGGATTCCATTAAGGAAATTCAGAGAAGGGAGGGGCATGTGCATGCTCCTGTCTGGCCGCGGGAGGCACAGGGTATCGCTGCTGCTTCCGGGCGGGGCTCTGCGGAGCCTGCACCGGGTGCTGAGCAAAGGAGGGCCTGTGTCCACTTTGGACGTGGGACAGGATGTAACTCTTCCTGCCCACGGGGGCCTTAAATGCCCCTGCCAGGACCCCAGACTCCAGCAGGGCCCAGACCTGAGTGGGAGGGCCTGGGTGAGAGACACAGGGAGCTGTAGCGCCATGCGACCATGTTCCTGAGCAAACACAACCCCAGCCAGCTCTCTGCAGAGCATGCTGGGGGCGGGGGGCGGGCGGCGGGGGGGCGGGGAGGAGTGTCTGTTGAGAGTCAGTTCGTAAAGGTTTGAGATTTTTTAAGTGCCCTTTCATTTGTGCCTTCTAATGGGTTTCATATCTGTAACATTTAAAGAGTTTATATAAATTGATAAGAAAAAAAGCCTAAATTCACAACAGATAAATAGACAAAGGACATGAATAGACACTTTATGAGGCATGAAATAGAATAACTCCTTCATAGGATGTTCAATCTCACTTGTAATTAAAGAAATCAGACACCGTTTTCCCAGCTGTTAAATCAGCAAAGTTAAAAAAAAAAAAAAGAAAGCAAACATACGCCTTGATGGCAACAAGGCGACCACACGTGGCTGGAAGTGGGCATTAGCCTAAAACAAAACAAAAAACACTTTCTGGGAAATAATCTGGCAAGAGGAGCAAGCACCTCGAAGCTGTTCAACTTTCCGAGAGTGAATTCTCCCTCCAGGAATCCATCCCTCGCCACAGATGTGAAACGCAGAATACGGCCGTCGTACGCAGGTGCTTGCTGTGAGGTTCTCTCTCATGGCCCAAAATCAGAAGCCGTGTGAATGTACAAAGTACAAGGCCTCCCTAAGCAAATGTCCAGACCCCATCCCTCTCTGCTCAAAACCTCCATGGCTTCCACCTCACTCAGAGTTGGGGCCGATGGCAGGCGGGGCCCCTGGTCCCCTCCTCCCACCCCCCCTCCAGCCACAGCTCTCCCTGCCCTCTCCTCTCCACACCCTCTCCACATCTCCACTCGCATTTCACCTTCTCATTGAAATTTTCCTCAACCACCCACTTGCCTCCTCACTTCATCTTTCTCCGTCTGATGTAAGTATGTGCGTGTTTTCTCTCTCCCCTTCTAGAACATAAGCTCCAGGAGGGTCGTGATTTTTTCTGTTTTGCGCCACTGCTTAGAGCCCAGCACAGTGCCTGGCACAGAGAACGCTCTCAGACAGTATCTGCTGAATGAATGAATGAATGAATGAATGGACGAGTGGACGAACACTGGAGGACTCTAACCAGTGGGTGGATGGGCAGAGGAAACGCAGGCCTGTCCGCCCGGAACAGAGCACAGCTGTGCCCAACAAACAGATAATTGGCACAGCCATTAAAATTACATTCTCTGGTTTTTAATGACTAGGGAAAATCTTTACACAGTAATATGGAAAGCATAAAAAAGCAGCCACAAAATTTTATGAACAGCATTTTGAATACAAGGGGAAATTTGTTTAACGTCTAGAAAAAGGTCCACTGGTAGTAATGCTGCCTGTTGGCCTTTCCGGGAGTGAAGGCTGCGGTGCTGCTCCCCCTGCACCCTGCGTCCCCCCTGCGCCACCCACCCTGCATCCCCCCCTGTGCAGGCCTCATACCCAGTCCTCCCGCTGGCCTCGGGCTCAGCGCCCTCCCAGCACTAATGAAGACTAGGCAGCTTCCTAGTTCCTCCTCTCCTCCTTCCCCAGAAAACCCCCAGGGGGTCCAGAGGTTTTATTTACTGATTCTCACACCAAAGAAGCAATGTCGCTCCAGAAAACGGAGGAGCCAAGTACAGGCGAAGAGAGGGATGTGATCCCTGAACACCTGGGCCCCACCCAGCCCCAGCGCCCACCTGACTCCCATCCACCTCAGCGTGCGACCCTCCCCAGAAAGGCAGGTCCTCTCCCAGGCACCTCTGTGTTCGGAGCAGGGACGCCCCATTTTGCAGGAAGCTTTACGTCAGGAGGCTGCAGGGAACGCTGGGTCTAAAAGGAGGTCCCAAGGCCACAACTGGGCCCGGTTAACAACGCTGCCGTGAGTGTGGGGAGAAGTGGAGGCTCGTTTCTGCCTTTCCTGGTCTACAGTAGCTATGCAGCTGCTCCCATCTAGGACTTACTTGAAACCTGCTCTCCCTTCCCCCCATCGGCCCCCCAGGGTACCGCCATCAGTACAGTGTTCAGGCAGCAGAATGAACGACACTGAGGAGTCCCACAGGAGGGAAACCAGCCCCCGGGGTCACCACCTCCAGACCAACGCTGCACCTACGGCACCATCCCCTCCACCCTCGTGACGGACACTGAGGCATTACCGCCAGCCCAAGCTCTTGGCCCACAACCGTCATGCCTTCCCTGCCCAAAAGGTTAAAAAAAATCCTGCCTAGGTCCCCTCACCTGGTTAAATCCCACCCACTCACCCAGGTGAAGCCCCAGCCCCATGACCCTAAAAATTTCAGAATCGAGGGTCATACAAGCAACCTGAAGTGTCTACACGAACCCCTCCCCGAGGCTGCCTCCAGCCTCCATCTGACCATCTCGGGGACAGGGAGGCCCCAGAGCCCTGCCTATTCCCAGAGGCTCCGCATGGAATCCACAACCAGCCTGCCCAGAGGTCCCGTTCCCGGCTGGTCCTGCACTTCGGGGCCGATCAGAGTCTAGTTCCAGCACCAATTGACAACCCTTCAAAGGTCCAGGGTCTCCCCCTCCACTGTCAGGACAGCCAGCAACGTCTCGCCCACCCCGAGCCCCAGGAGAGCTCACTGCAGGGGACCCGCTCCACTGCCTTTTATTGTATCGTCTACGCAGTGAAATCCATTTCGTTAAAATACACAAAACCCATTTGGAGCTCATCTCGTTTCCTGGCTCAGCAGAGCGGCCATCCCGCATGCACGATCCTGGAGCTCAGCATGAAAGGAGAGAGACGCTTTCAAAGCGGGGAGCCTCCGCCCGGGGCAGCGAGAAGACAAGGCTATCCCCACCTGAAGGGAGCCTTCAGACATCTCTGGAGAAGCGAGGCCTGTGGGGAAGGAGCTGGAAACCACGGCCAGCAAGGCTACGACTTCCAAAGATCAGAGGTGGCGGTTCGGGTTTAGGTCTTTGGTCCCCACCCCTCTGCTGAGGCGAGCGCAGCCACCCTGACCCGCCACTTCCGGGCGGAGGAAAACCGCACGTGGAAGAAGTCCTGTCCTGCGCCCCTGCGGGGAGGGCGCCGTGCCTGGGGGTGATGGAAAGAGGTTTAGACCTCAGCTCTGGAACCGGAACCCCGGGGTGCAGTCCCGGCTCTGCCACATGGAGGCAGCCTGGCCCAGAGCCCGCGATCAGCAGCACTACACGCTTCCACTCCAGCAGCCTTCCTGAGCCCCGAACCCCTGACGGTGAAAGGTGGCTGGTGGCGCTCACTCTACAGGTCTGCTCACGGCAGAAGGACAACCATGTGAACCGACAGCCAGGCACAGACCTGGAACTCGGCACATGCTCTTCTCTCCCTCCTTCCCTTTGGTGCACAAGGTCTTAAACATGTTTTTTTCATAAATAGTTAAATTTTCATTTCTAAAAATTTGGGTTTCTGGCTTCTTTTGAAAAAAAAAAAAAAAAGAAAAGAAAAAAAAGGATGATCTAGCAGTGCTGGACCTGGATTCCCACCAGGCAGCAATTGGCTGCATCTCTGTGGCAGCTGCCCCGTCTTTCTCGATCTGATATAAGTGTGTGCGTATGCTCCACAGTCCCCACCCACCCCTACTGCCCTCCCGTGGCCCACCTCACACATCCTCTACTTCCCCACCCCAGAGGGCATCTGACCCTGCACCTGATCACCTGAGTAGCAATTTCTTTGGCTTCTCATCTCTGCCTGGTGAAAACTTCTGCCAAGACTTTATTCCCTCCCTAATAGCACAAACTTTTCTTTTTTCTTACTAAAAGGCAGGGAACATTTTCCCACTCACAAATTACCCTGCTATGTGCAAGTCCTTCAAACATTTACTGATCACCTACTATGTGCATCACACTGCTAGGAGCAGGGGCCAGCTGAGGGGTGCTGGGACACCGGTGACTGCCTCAAGCTAGCCCAAGTCCCCGACAGGCAGGAGGCAGCAAACTTTTCTGTGAAGGGCCGGGTAGGAAATATTTTCGCTCTGTAGGCCAAACGGTCTCTGTCACAGCTACTCAACGCTCCCTCATGGCAGGAAAGCGGCGAGGACAGTATGTAAACAAACAGTGCGGCCGAGTTCCAATATTTACAAAAACCCGCGTCGGCCAGTTTCGACCTCCTGGACTGTGCTTTGCAGACCCTTGTGCCAAAGGCTCTCAGTTTGATGTAGCAACACAGAAATCCTTTGATTTCTAGAAAATGGAGGAGGGGGACTTGAAGGTCATCGACCCGGGAAGAGACCTGCTCCTGTGGACTGACTGAAGCAAGGCCCCCCTCCTCAAGGAAAGGCCCCTCTCCGGGGTCCCGCAGACCCGGGTTTGAGTGCTGGCTTTGCCACTCACGATGGGACCTTGAGCAAGTTACTTAATCTATTGAGGGACCTGTTTTCTTTTCATGAAATGGAAGCAGTAATTAGAGCCACCGCATGGGGCTGGTGTGAGGATTAAATGAGAGCATTGGTGCACAGTACCTGCCACAGGGGAAGTACTCAGTAATCACAGCCATGGCCATACCGTGAACGAATGAATGAATGAATGAATGGTGGCTGCATCTTATTCATCTTTCGATCTCTGGCACACACAGCAGGTGCCCAATACATACTTGCTGAATCCACCTGACACAGTCCTGACGGGGTTTGGTTATTCTCATCTAATCGCCCGACCCTCCCCCAATCCTTCAGAGCCACCACGCTGCACACAGAAGCAGTGCTACCTCCCTTTAACCATTAAGAAGGTGATAATCATGGTGTCAACTGAGCCTTAAAAATTCTTTTAAGTGAAGGAAAAAGAGCCAAGAAGCTACTCTGCGGGAAAAGGCTATTAAGAATGTTCCTAAAGGCTTGTGGGCATCAGCCTTCCGGGCCGTGGAGCCTCAGGGCAGCCTCCACCCTCCACCCACCGGTATCTGCACCCTCTCCCCAGCCCACAGAATTCTCCACCTTGGGCAGCGAAGTGCAGCCAGGCCTGCAGATGAGGGAGGCGGCACTGCACACACAGGGTTCCCCAGTGTGTGGACCAGGGAGTGGACTTTTGTTTGCCAAGGGTGGAGCGGATGGACAGGTGAAGGAGGCTGAGCTTAGATGGAAGGTACTGTTGTTACAGGAAGAATCCATGAGATCAACCAGATGGAGGTGTTGGGAGCCCCACTTCTAAATGCCCCCAGGATGTGTGGGTGCAGGAGTCAGGGTAGGAAAGGCCCAGGGGAGCAGGAGAGCATAAGCTCAGGCTCTGAGGGGCAGCCCGAGGGCCGGCCGTACTCACCTTCCGCTCCAATGGACACCAGCTTGACCCCCTTGCTGGCTATGAAGTCCAGGGCCTTGTTGACGTTGGAGATCTTGTGCACCCGCATCTTGCCTCGCTCCGGCTTGGCCAGGCGCTCACCTGAATGCAGACCAAGAGCGGGAAAGGGAAGGTGAGATAATAATCCACCAGCCGGGGCTGCGCTCTCACTCAGCACCCGCATGCAGGGCACATCCCCGCCGGACACTCACTTCTCGCCGGGCGGGGAATGAGAGGGCGCGCCCACCGCGGCTCTGCTTTCTCCCACGTCACGGACCTAACTGCTTGCGTCCACTCAACAATCCTGCACGAAGCCCCTAACGCAGCGGTTCTCAACCTGTGGGTCGCGACCCCTTTGGCGGTCGGAAGACCCTTTCACAGGGGTCACCTAAGACCATCCTGCATATCAGATATTTACATTACGATTCATAACAGTAGCAACATTACAGTTATGAAGTAGCAACGAAAATAATTTTATGGTTGGGTCACAACATGAGGAGCTGTATTTAATGGGCCAGAAGGTTGAGAACCACTGCCCTAACGTGTGTCAGGGACTTGGCTGGGCACCAGGAATACGGGGGTGAACAAAACCATTTCCTGCCCTCATGCACTTATGGCCCAGGAAGAGAGACAGATGTTCAGTAGAGAAACACACAAATAAATACATACAAACACCCAAACACAGAAAAGCTTAAAATAACTGCCTGAAAAGAGGCTGCAGAAGAGGAGGGCGGGCAGGAGGAAGAGGAGTCTCGGAGTGCAGGAGAGGGCCTCTGAGAGGGAGGACAGCCAGGCCTAGACGGCAGGAAACAGTGATCAAGGCAGAAGGAACAGCACATGGGAAGGCCCCGAACTCCATGCAGTCTAGCCTGGGCCTGGGAGAGGGGTGCGGGTGACCCCAGAGTATTGTGAAAAGGTTCCCAGGGGGGTTCACGTGGAGCCGCCCACAGCACCCCGCTCTCATTGGACAAGCAGGGCTCTTGTCCTGGTACTGCCTCTCGTGGGCGCCCTTGGCTCAGCTCCAGTTCAACCCCCACCCTCACTCAGCCGCCACGCCCCACACCCCCATCTCCACCTTCCACGTGGGAGCTTCTGCTGCTCAGGTTTCAGGGCCAGGAGCTGCGTGGACACGGGGGCGGGGGGCAGGGGGGAGTTGGTTCTCCGAACACCCCATTCAGAGCATCATCCCAGAACCGTGGCCTCCAGAAACCTCCTGAAACTACTTGAAAAATTTTTATGTGCAACACACGTGCCCAAACCTGGGGCAGGGACACAGCTTTCAGTGTCTAAATGGTCACAACCCCCCAAAGGCTGAGAACCACCATCCGAGAGCCTGAAACTCAGGGCCCTTGCATCTGCCATGGTCACCAGCCCGGCACCTCGCCCCAAGGCACGTCAGTAGCCTGGCTGAGCAGGCTCAGGGACTGGGCAGCCGTCACGCTGGGCCAGGCCCACCCTGTCAGCATAGCAGGTCTGCAGGGGGCTCCCAGCTTTCCTGCTGCAGATGTCATTTGGCCTGGCAGCTCCCAGGGAGGCACAGCTGGATTATTATTAAGTCAAGACTTCCCACATGTGGCCCTCCCAAGGCTGTGGCCGCTGCCCTGCCTCTCCAGCAGGGCACCCACCATCCTCCTGAGCAGATGAGAAACCACAGGGGCTCCCTCCCATGGGCTGGATGGAGACAGTGCCACGTGCCACCGCTGCCACCACTGCCACTCCCCCCATTCCCTCCCACCACCGCCAGCTGCTCCAGCCACGCCCCAGCCCCAGCCCTCAGCCCTGCTGAGCCTGAGCAAGGCCAGCGGTTTTCAAACTTCAGTCAGCACAAAACCACCTGGAGCGCCAGCTAACCACAGATGTCCAGCCGCTCCCCCGCCTCCTAGTTTCTGATTCAGGAGGTCTGGGTGGGGCCTCGGATCCTGGTGTGGGTGGTCCAGGGACCACACTTCGAGGACCTCTGCAGGCAGCACCTCCTTCCTTCTCTTGTCATCCCACCCATCTCCAGAGACGCTGGGTGACTCGGTCTCCCCAAGCCTCTGGAAAGAGATGAGCCTGCTTGACAGCCATGCACAAGTCCTCCTTGGGCGCAGGCCGCCATTCAGCGGGCGCACTGGTGGTTACACAGAAAAGCCCACTGCGGGGCATCCGGTCACTCTGACACCTGCCGAGTGCCACCTCCATGCCAAGCACAGTTCTAAGCACTTGGGACACAGGGATGAGGCCACAAGGAGCTCAGGGTGGAGTGGGGGGGAGAACAAGTGAGCCTCGATGACTAAACCACACGGCAAATGACACACAGAGAAATTAATGGGGTGCTACTGGAGCCTGGAGGAGGGCAGCCACTCAAACTGGGGGTGGGGGGTGGACAGGGAAGAATTCCTGGAGAAAACTCTTGAGCTGAGTTTTAGAGAATAAAAAAAAAAAAACAATGCTAAGTTGGTTGGTTTTCTAAAACTAAGAAAATATTCAAACTAATAAATGTTGGGAGAGGAGGTCAGTAGAGAAGAATATTCTAAAAGTACGGCAGTTCCTAAAACTTAAACATTGCCCCCGCCTGGTAGCTAAGTTGGCTGGAATGTCGTCCGCACACTAAAAGGAGGCATATACAGAAGGTAACCCATCATGTTTCTCTCACATCAATGTCTTTCTCCCTTACTCTATAAAAAAGTAAAAATGAAATAAAAAATCCATTTAAAATTTTATTATTTTAATCTTCATCTTCAGGTAAGGATTAAAATAATAAATTTTTAAATAACTTAAGCATGGAATTACCATATTATCCAACAATTCCACTTCTGAGTAATGGAATATTACGCAGCCTAAAAAAAGGGGGAAGGAAATTCTGACCCATGCTATACCATGGATAAACTGGAAGACATGATGCTAAAGGAAATAAGCCAGTCACAAAAGGACAAAATCTGTATGATTCCACTAATGTGAGGCTCCCAGAGTAGTCACATCAGAGACAGAAAGTAGAATGGTGGCTGTGAGGGGCTCGGGGCGGAGGAACGGGAAGTTAGCATTTAAGGAATATGGACCTTCAGTTCTGTAGACGGATGGTGGTGATGGGTGCACAACAACGTGAATGTACTAAATGCCACTAAACTGTACCCTTAAAAATGGTCAGGCCCTGGCCAGGGCGTTCAGTTGGTTAGAGCATCGCCCTGATACACAAGGTTGCGGGTTCAATCCCTGGTCAGGGCACATCTAAGAATCAACCAATGAATGCATGAATGAGTGGAACAATAAATCGATGTTTCTCTCTCCCCTTCTCTCTCTCTAAAATCAATCAATAAGATTTTTTTAATGGTCAAAATGGTAAATTTTTATGTTATATATATATTTTACTACCTCAAATTTCATCTGCAAGGGAAATAGAAAAAAAGTATTGGGGTAAAAAAAAAAAAAAAAAGATAGCACGGAATGCGGGAGGACTGAATGTCTCCAGTGTGGCCGGGGGCCTGAGGACCGAGGCCTTTTTGGGAAAAGCTAGCTGAGACCAAAGCAGGTGCCAGCTCACGAAGGATCCTGCAAGCTGTGCTAAGGAATGTGGGCTGCAGGCGCAAAGCCCTGGGGAGGCGCCGAAGGGTTTCCAGCGGGGAACAGCCTGACCATATATGGCTGCTGCACGGACCCTCTGGCTGCCTGTGTGACGATGGGCTGCCTGGGTCGGGAGGAGCAGAGGAGGTTTCCGAGGGCCTCTGTGGCATCAACTAGGTGGGGACCACAATGACACGGCGGTGGCCGGTGGCCGACAACAGGAGGAGATAAAATGTATGGAGCGTGAATGCCGAGTTGGAAAGAAGAGCAGAGGCAGAGCTGTCTGATTCCTAGATTAGGTTTAGGGGAACAGGACAGAGACTGCAGGAGGAAAAAGGTCTGCTGGGCCAGGAGTGGTAAGCACAGTTTTGGACACACTGAGTGGACCCCGGGGGACGTCTGGGTGGAGATGCCCAGGGCAGTTCAGCATTTAAGAAGGGCCTGGAGGGAGGAGGCTAGACTGAGACTAGGTCTGGGACTCACTGGCACCACGTGGAAGGTCAAGTGAAGGGCGCAGCTGAGGTTGCCCAGGGTGAACACGGCTGGAATACTGAGGACCACCAACCTTAACAGGAGGGAGAGGGAGGTATCCACCAGAAAGCGGAGGAGTGTGTTCAAGGGAGCCGTCCCTCCAGACACCTGGACATCCGCATTCCAAGCTGGGGTCCAGAGAGGGCCTGGGATCGTGTGGCTTTAGGCTGAGAGGTTGTATTGGAGCCACGGTTTAGGTGTAGCCGTGGTTGCATTCTTGACCACAGAATCCTAGCATTTCGGAGAAGGGACCTCAGAGGCCATCTCTCAAACCCCCTCTTTTTGCACATAAGGATGCTGAGGCAAAAAGGCAGTGACTTGTCCAAGGACACACAGATGATTGGCAGCAGTCTCCTGGTCTGACTCACATGTCACCCCAACTTCTTTCAAAAGCCCCGAGCTAGCCATGACCAAGGCAGAGCAGCAGCAGGGTGCCAGGGAAGCATTCCCCCAGTGGCAGGCCCAGCGGGCAGCACCTGATCCTGGGCCAGGATGGCCCTGCCCAGCTGAAGCTCCCAAGGCCAGTGGCCCACCTCACCTGAGATGACCTCCAGCAGCAGCATGAGCTTCAGGCCATCCCGGAAGTCCTCCTCTATGTTCTCGATCTGCGTCCCGGCCTTGCGGAGGTGTGAGTTGCACCATGCCGTGAATGTCTAGGCAAAGGAAAGAAGACGAGCATAAGTCACATGGTCGCTGAGGCGCTCACAGGGGCCTCACGGGGTCCCAGGGCCCCCCTGCCTCACACCATCTCTTTGGTTGTTCTATGTAAGGCATGGGTGGGAACCAGTGGGATGGACGAAGCCGCACCCTCCTTTAATGCCTCCCCTCTGGGCCTTCGTCCAAAACATCATCTCCCCACACATTTATTAGTACCACTAATTTACTTCTTAATTATAAGGCTTAGTTTCAATCTCCATAGTTTTTTATTGTTGTTTTTAATTTTTTCCTCCTCACCCGAGGATATTTTTTCCATTGATTTTCAGACAGAATGGAAAGGTGGGAGGAGGCGGGGGTGGGGAGAGAGAGAGAAACATCAGTGTGAGAGAGACACATCAATTGGCTGCCTCCCGCATGCACCCCAACCGGGGCCAGGGATCAAACCTGCAACCAAGGTACAGGCCCTTGACCGGGAATCGAACCTGTGACCCTTCAGTCTGTAGGCCAACACTCTACCCACTGAGCAAAACCAGTCAGTGCCATCTTCATAGTTTTAAGGCGAAGTACCCCAGAGGTAACATATAAAGCCTTATTAATACCATGGGGGGGGGGGGGGGGCGGGGGAAATGCCATAGGGTAAATTAGTTTACTAAATCCTTGTATACTCAGCAGCTACCCAAGTAAAAGGATTAATCAGTTTTGTCAGGCACCTGGTTCAGAATCACAGTGTCAGGACAAGGAGAGAGACAGGTAAATACCCCAATGTGTATGCCTGTGTCTTTGGGATGGGGGATGGAAGCACCTTAAGCTTCAAAAATATGAAGACTTCCAGAAAGGGACTATAAGGAGCCTAAATGAAAGACCATTGGTGTTGAATGTTCTAGTCTGTGGGGAGAAAGCAGCAACATTGACGCTTCATATATATATAAAATCTTTATTGAAACTTTTTCTGTATTTAAGCAGATGATCAGGCAGGCCACAACCAAGCTGTCCTGTGCCAACAGCACCCCCTGGTGACTCAAACAAGAAAAAAGATAACAAGAGAGAAAAGTATGCATTTTCATTTTGTAATGTCCCTTCCACAACTTGGGCACCTGTCTCTCCCTGGCTGTCACATTCCATGGGAGACAAGCACCTCCTGCTTCAGACCCAACCCATTCCTCGGCAGCTCCAGACTTCTCTGCACCAAATGGCACTCACAGCTACACGAGGCTCAAGGGCCAATGTTCAGTCCCCACAGCACCCCAGGCAGCTCTCCTCCCACCTGTCCTCAAAGTCTCAATGGTGAGCAGTGCATTCTTCTTTGAAACAGCAGCAGCCACACTAGAAATACCCTTCCCTCCTAGGAAAGGTCACCAGACCCATGACCCCCACCACCACTTCCTCTTGTCCCAGGGGAACTCCAAAGTGAAGTGGCAATGAATGGGCAGGAGCAGGAAGGAATGCCACACCAGTGGTCACTGGGAAAAAGAAATGGCTGCTGGCTTTATAAGCAAGAGCTGAAGAGTCTGGGAGCAAGGAGGAGAGATGTCAGACCACACAGGTAGGGAGGAAGGGGCAGTCTTTGGAAAGACTGGCACACAGACTGGAGGTGGACAGGGGACATATACCGATTCCTCGGCCTGGAATATCCTCTATGTCATGTCTAGCTAACTCATCTTTCAAGATCAGGCTAAGATACCACCTCCTCCAGGAAGCCTTCTTGACAGCCACCCACCATGTCTGGGTTGGGGGCACAGAGCCCAGAGCATCCCGCACCCACTCCATCATTGCCCATGGCCTGCTGCACGGTCCTTGCCTGGCCACTTATCAGTTCCATACCTCCAGGCTGGCATGGGCTCAACGCTCTCCCTAGAGTCCCGCGGCACAAAGTCAGGGACACAGCAGTGAAGAAACAGCAAAAAACCCGGCCTTGTGCAGCGAACATACTAGTGGATGTAAAACTCAAGCAACTGAACGAAGGAGCAAGTAGGGAACCCCTGCAAAAAGGAAGGTCCTGGAAGATCCAACTGCACCTGTGAGTGATGCTGAATGGTATCAGCAGGGGGTGATGGGCCAGACAGGCTCTCAGGGACCCTGAGAACACAGCTCAGAGGAAAGGGGATGCGGCAAGACAAGGAAGAGTATCCACTGGGTGCCCTTCCTCTGGCGCTGGCCTCACAAAACTGGCAGAGCAGGCAGGGTACAGTGGCTTTTATTTTCATTTTGTTGTAACTTTGTTGTAAAAAATATGAGTTTTTAAATCGTTAAAATAATTTATTTTGTAGTTCTATATTCCCTCCTGCTTGCCATCTGTCCATATATGCACTTCTGCCAGGTGTCATCACACTGTCCATTCACGGGGCGGGGCGCCTTTATTTACCACCACCATCCGTATCGCCAGAGCACTTTGCTCTCATCTCTCTTCCAGGCCCCGCCTCTGCCTGGCAACTCAAAGGGCTGGTCTCAGGCCACGGACCTGCTGGGAATCGCCTTCGTCCCCACAGGTGGGGGCTGGGGGACCTCACTGATCATCACTCAGTCATGCAACGGGGGCTGGGGTGTGAGGAAAGGGGAAGAGGCCGCTTTTGTAAGAAGACACTGCTTTGCAAGAGGAAAAGTACTGTTGAAAGCAGCCTGCCTCATTTCCTGGAGAAGCCGGACTCTGCGCCTGGAGACAGACCGCACCTGTGTTTGCTCAGGTCTCCCATGCAAAGCCTGGTTCTGAGGACTGCTCTTGGCTAAAACCTCCAAGGCCCCGCCCCTGGCTCCCTCAGGGGTCAGCAATGATGGGGCCACTGAGCACCATCCAAGTAAGAAAGTTCCCCTAGGAAGCAGCTCCTATGTGGAAGCGCAGGCCTAAGGAGAAGATGGTGGGGGCAATTCAGTGATGAAAAACAGGCATTTCCCAGCCCTGGCTGGGTAGTCAGGTGGTTAGAGCATCGTGCTGATGCACCAAGGTTACGAGTTTAATCACAGGTCAGGGCACACGAAGGAATCAATCGATGAATGCATAATAAACGAAACAACAAATCAATGTTTCTCTCTCAAATCAATAAATAAAAATTAATTTAAAAAGGAACATGCTCTTGTGGGTGCACCAGATCTGGGTTCAATGCCCAGACCCACCATTTACCAGCTGCGTGACCTTCAGAGGAACCTCCCTAAGGCTCAGTTCCCTACAGTAAATGGGGGATAGTAACTGCACTTTGTAGAAGCAGGAGGATTAACTAGAAACATGTACGAAGCGCCTGACACCTAGAAACTGCTCAGGAAATGGTGAGAAGGACACGCCTTTCTGTGGATTCGTCTCGGAGGACTTGCCCTGTCCTCCCAGCCCACACCTCCTCCCAGCCTCCAGCCACCACACTCTGCCTGGGTTCCGTCCCTGCAATCACTGCACAGTGTTTTCAAGGTGATGCCTGGTGTGTCTGAGAAAAGTCTTATTTTTCGAACTGATGCTGATGTATCATGGGAGAGGGCTAAAACCATGGTGGGGGTGCAGGAAGCCTAGGATTTTGACAGTGGTCTTGTGGGGCACAAGCGGAGGCTGATGGGGCACCAGAGGGGAGAGGGCAGTGCCTGCAACGCAGACTTCCATGCGCAGCGCACAGCTTCTCCTGGGGGCAGGGCAGGCCTTGTTCTTAAAACCGGAGCTCCCACCTTAGGACAGGGAAGGGCACCTGCCCCTTAGTGCTGCCCCAGGGGTCCAGCCAGGAGGAAAAGCCAACAGTCACCAGTGATGCCTGTGGCTCGAGATGGAGACAGAGGGTCCCATGGCCTCTAGTCCAGACACCCCAACGTGGAGGGCAACACTACCGCAGCAGCTGTGGTGCAGCCTCATTCAAACCAAGGGCCGGGGGACATTTTATGCCTCAGTCCCAACCAGGACCTGTCGGATCTGACCTTCCCTTTGCTCTAAGAGCCCCACTGCTGGGCCCCTGGCTCGCAGCCTGACTAAGGAGATGGGGCCTGCAGTGGACTCACTATTGTAGAAATGGGCTCCGGGATGCTGAGGGCTCTCAGGAAAAAGGCCCAGGCACCGCTGGGAGTGCTCACAGGGCTGCAGCGAGAGCTAGTTCCCTCCTCACTTCACCAGCCCCCTGCACAGCCTCTGCGGGACCTGGATGG